GACTCTTCGAAAGCAACTTGCAGATCACGTGTGGATGTTTTGGGACGTGTCAAAGCCGAGAACATAGTGGATCATGCATTACTTCTTATCGCGTGCCGCCTCCATCCCCCGGTACGACCTACTGCGTTGGTTGTTCATTGTGTCTGCCTGCAGGGGGACTTTGGAATAGGTGTGGGTACTCGCCTTTACACGGGATCATGGGCCGTTCGCCCCGATNTAAATCCGGCGACAGGGATTCGGGCGAGTTGTCGTACGAAGGAGGCCGGGACAAGAAGGTGAGCCTCGCTTGTTGCGGCCACACTCGTTGCCGTCGGCATGGTGGCTACCCACGATCATGCCACACTTTTGTCATTCGCGTGTTGATTCGACGTCGGCGGGGTTGGAGATTGGTGGTAACGACGAAATGGTCTACTTTCTTCAGCCTTTCCGTTTTTTTTCGTGCGTCTTCTTGTCCGCTTTTTGTTATTTTAGTCTCGGGGCTGCCGGGGTCACAATGTTTTCAGAACGGTCTCCCTACGTTTGCTCTTTGGTGCGGTTGGTACCACTTGCCTCGGATATTTTGTGGATATTTTCTTTTCGCGTTGCTTTTTTTCCTTTTGCGTGTTTTTGTGCGTTTTTTATTGCCAGCAGAGCAAAGAAGCGACGGATGATCCGGATGAAGACGGAGGTTCGGACGGCTTCTCCTCCCATGACGACGAAGACGAGCAAAGCGACACCAACAAGGTGAGGTCTGATTACGTTGGACACCAATTTCTCGTTGAGGGTGTGCTGAGGCGACGGCAGTTCCGNATTTGCTCTTTGGTGTGGTTGGTACCACTTGCCTCGGATATTTTGTGGATATTTTCTTTTCGCGTTTCTTTTTTTCCTTTTGCGTGTTTTTGTGCGTTTTTTATTGCCAGCAGAGCAAAGAAGCGACGGATGATCCGGATGAAGACGGAGGTTCGGACGGCTTCTCCTCCCATGACGACGAAGACGAGCAAAGCGACACCAACAAGGTGAGGTCTGATTACGTTGGACACCAATTTCTCGTTGAGGGTGTGCTGAGGCGACGGCAGTATTCGGACGGCTTCTCCTCCCATGACGACGAAGACGAGCAAAGCGACACCAACAAGGTGAGGTCTGATTACGTTGGACACCAATTTCTCGTTGAGGGTGTGCTGAGGCGACGGCAGTTCCGTTAACCAACAAGGAAGCAACAAGGACTTCAGGCTCTAGCTTGGACAATCGCACGCCCTCCTTCTTACGCGGTTTATGCAGGGCCGGAAACCCGGCAGCGGAAAGAGGACGGGGCAGGACGCGCACGATGACACGGACGAAGATACGGACGAGGAAACGGGCCGGTGGGGTGGCGGGGATTGCGGCGGCATAGCGAGAGTCGGTCGCTCGTTCGACCTCAAGGAGACGCCGTGGGAAACGTGGGAATACGCTTTCTCCACGCTTATCGGGGAATTGAACGAAGCAGGCCATCTAACCGTGCAGAAGAGGAGACGCAAGCAGGTGAGTCCTGTAGATGAAGTTTTCCGACTGCGCGTCCGGTCCTCGCCTAGTCACTAGAGGCTCTCAGGTGGACGTCTTCTGACGTCTTTGGTCTGTGACGGCCGTAGTTCCACTTGAAGCAGACGCGGTCCGTCGCTCGTTATTCGCCGCCCTGCTGTTGTGTCTGCAGACGACCGACAAGAGCAGACACAACCTATGCGAGATTGTCTGCAGACACTCCGGGGAGGCGCGGGTGCGCCCAGCAACTCGTGAGGGGCGGAAGAGGAGGAACTGCAAAACGAAGGAGGTGCGGAGCGGAACATTTATTTGCCGATTTTGTATGATACGATTTTTGTACTAGTCTATTCATGTACGAAACGGGCAGTGCTGTTGTGAGTGCAAGTAAACGCGAGAGCCCCCGCGGAACGCTCTTCTTTACACGTCGAACTCTTCATCACATCTCTCATGGCTTATATTGTGCATTATATTTTGTGGGTATGTCTCGCCGGTCTCGCGCAGATTGGGTGCCCTTTCAAGATCACCATGACGTGGCGAGTCGGGGCTACCAACCCCACCATAACCTCGGTGAGGGTTAAAAATTAGAGTCTAGGCATGTATGTCTACGCGATACATGGATCGAAATTTCTGTCGTTTGCGCTGCAATGGCGCTGCAATGGCGGATCTGCGGACGTGATGCGTGTTGTTCCCGGTGCATTACGACCGTATTCGGACCATATTGCGTCGGCCCCCGTTCAATGTATGTTTGGTGTTAGCTCGGGTCATCTCTCTCTCTCACGGCTGTATGTAGCATGCGCGTGTAACTTTTCTTGTAAGAGAAAACATTTTTTCTCAAAAAAAAACAGTCACAAAATCATCATGCACGCGCACCAACAGCAGCAGGACCACGCTCCCTATCCTGAATTTTAGACGGCCCGTCCACAACCACACCACACCCCCTTTTGTTGCAAAAGATTAACGAACTGAATTATTTACTTTACCCCCTTTCTTACAAAAACCCTCCCCGGTGTTTGCCATCGGGGTTGGGTTTTCGTCGCTTGGCATCGACGTTGTAGAACATGCCAATTCACTTCGTGAACTCGGCAGCCAGGTTACCTTTTTTTTTTCGGTCGGCGGTAACCATAATGGTGGTCGAGTAGATCATGTTGTGCGGGGTGGATAACCCTCACTCCGCGCAAGGGGGATGATCGCACCACGTTGTGTTAAAATGGTCAAGCACCCTAGAGGCAGTTACACAGTGCTTACAACTGTCTCAGGGAGTGAAATCGCCAGAAAATAAATGAAGTCATACGCAGCTGTCATCCGTACGCGAGGAAGTAAGCACAAGATGCCGAACACCCTTAGCAGGATGCAGCGCACCCTTCATGCGACTCGCCGAATATCTCACGGCGCTTCGCGCTTGGTGATGTGAGAGCCTGGTCCGGTGAGAACCCGGCGTGCTCCGTCCCGGCTTTGTAGGGATGCGAGGTCAATGGTCTAACGACTACGGCATGCACGACTACGAGTACACCCTCCCTTTCTTACAATATAACATAAAAAAACAGGTGCAACTACCTCCATCCTAGAACAAAACTCAATCAGTTGGGTCGCCAGGCAATTTTTCAAGCGTCGCACAACAATCCACTTCTGTTTCTGCATTTCAATGTTTGTCGATGTATCTCACGGCGGGGGTTCCCCGTCCTGTAACCGACAAAATTACGGGTCTTCCCCCGGATTTCGACGGTCAATGCGACGCCGCCACCAATTACATCGCGAAGACATAAACTGGAGGATACTAAAAAAATTAAACTGCAAGGCAAAAATAAAAACAGCCGGTCGTCGAGCACAGCAATTTTTACAATGCAGAACACGAGACCGTCCACGCGCACAAAAACAGCGGGTTCTTCACAATGGCAGAAGCCTTGCGTTGAAATGAGGCGCGTATGCGTACGTACGGACGCACGTACGTATAATCTTTTTCAAGCACACGGAAAACTGATGATCCACCGACCCTTCTCGTAGAAGTATATGCATACAATGACACATACGACGGAGAGAGATGGGTCAACATGACCGGGGGGCACTGTATCTATAACTCCTTCACAATTTGTAAAACACTGTGTAGAACACCACCCTCATGAAATTCACGTGCTGCTCAAATCACATAAATATGAGCAGTACACCGCTGGGCAGAGCGCTCCAAAGAGGGAGAAGAAAAAACGAACAGCTAAAAAATATATATATATATCTTGACTACATAGAGAACTGCTCTGGCCCTCTCCATACGTACCTCTCAACCCACCACTTTGTGAAACACCAATCAAAGGAGAAGCAGGAAAACAAATCAAAAGCGTGAGAGGGGTGGGGGTGTGCAGCAGGCTGTAAGTGCGCCCCCTGCATCGGGCGCCTCTGTCCAGCCAGGGGAAGACAAAACACTATTATACGACACTACATGCAACACACATCATCGACAGACGATTTGGTAATCAACGAGAGAGGTCGTCCAACAGGTGGTCAACACTCCAACAAGAGCGGCAGTCTGCCCCCCTATGCAAATGCGTATCATTCCGTACAAGTCTGGATGAGAGTGCGACGGACGATGAATCGGAAATGTCCCAGAGTTATTTTTGCGGAGAGCATGTGGAGCTCAAGCCCAATGCCACAACGAATGCGGTCGGAAAGAGAGACTGCTTTGCCTTGATTGTTTTCCATCGCCATCAAACCAAATTTACGGCGTCGCGTACTGTACACAGGTGAGCAGGGAAGCGCCGTACTCTCTCTCTCTCTCTCTCTCTCATGCTATGATAGCTCCTCTGTCTCACTCACGCTCCCGCTCCCCCCTTCTCACGCGCAGCGCAGCTCATGTTCCACGCCCATCCACAAAACGCCCCCCTACCCCCCACCGTTGCCGCCATGGACCCCTTCCTCTCTCGCCTCAGCCCTCCTGCCTTAGCCGAACGTCCCCGAGCAAGAATATGGACACCACGGGAGGGTCAGGCGGGCCGGCGATCCAACCCCCGTGTTGGTCGCTGAAGAACACGGGGAGAGGCTTCGTGAACGGCGGCAACGGCCCGCGCATTCTGCGGTCGTGCGCCAACGCCAGCTTTCGGACTCCTGCGCCGACCTTTCGATAAAAAAAAAAAAAAA